CGTTTTTGTTTCATTTGTAACTTTCATCTCACCTCACATTTAAAAATATATAAATTCAGATACAGTGCTGCTGCTACTGTCCAGCACTTTTATTTATTTCTCATTCTTTTCAAAGCTTTAGTTTACAGCCTCGGTATATCTGCAACTGTATTTCTGTCACGCTGTGCCGCTAATCTCTGGGAAACAAACGTCCCACTGGAAAGAGCTCAATAGCCACTAATTCTCCTCAACAAGGTCGGCTAAATGACTGATGGTAACAGAGTTTACCGTCTTGTATGACCGCCGGTGTGATCTCAGCAAAGGGAAGCTGTGATATAAAGTTTTGGGGGGTTTAATTAGGTCATCAGCTTTTAATTAGTTCATCAGAGTTTGGGCGAAGAGGTCGGCTATCACAGGCTGACGTTTTAATTAGCGGGCTGATGAACGATCACATGATCGAAGGTAGAAATTGACCTTCAGCCGTCGTCGAGGCAGCAGGTCGGTAACTTCAGGCTAAAGCCGTAGGATTAGGGCGGGTCAGACGTGAGATGATGTGTTTGTGACTGTCTCCGAGTCTTTCTGAGCAGCTTCATGTTCACTGCCAAAGGTGTTCGCACGCATACTGTCCTCGTATCTCGCCGCAGTAGGGTGAAGCGCTTTATTTATTCGGTTTGCCGGGAAGGTCGTAACCAATCATCAGATAGGAAAATAAGAGCTTAGCAGTCAGTGCAATGTACAGTCGAAGCAGTGCGCTAACCATGGTGCTCTCAGACGACAAAAACCTTGTATAAAAATAATATTTTTGGGTTAACTGAACAAAATATTTTTACATATGAATTGTAATAAAAGGTGTTTTTTGCCTGTCGTGCTCAGAAAAACTAATTCAGCACTGGAGGGGATCGCACAAGTTGTTGATTTTCCTCTTTTCTTTGAAATAACGGGACATCAGGAAAATGACAAACCTGCGTGAGCATTAAAGCTGCGTATTTTAAACACTCGCTGAGTTGAAAGTCCAAAGCTGGTGTTAGAGAGATCAGCTGAAGCTAAACAAAGGATGGGCTGTACCTTCATATAAGCCAGTCTGTGCCACGAGCTGGTGAAGTGAGTCACCAGGGAAGTCATTAACATAACAAGCACAGATTAAATGCCGCCCCCGTGTTGGGAAACGTATAAAAAGTACCTTTAAGGAGCTCAGACAGCTCTTTAAAGCAGCCGAGCAGGAACTGCAAGCGCAAATATTTCAAACAAATTAGGAAAATAAATGGACAGCTTTAAACTGGACCTACTCTGCTCTGATCTATAAACTCTTAAAATGGTGAATTATTGTACCAAACATCATCTAAGTGTGACAAAATTTCACACAGTTCTTTCTACACTTGATGTCACAGACACGGGATATACCTAATATGGTCATATTCTAAAAGCCCCGCCCAACTGGTGTTCGGACCAATTAGAATAAAGTCACCCTTAAAGGGGGAGGATGAACTCAGAGGTTGAACAAAGGCCCACAAAAAGATAAATAAGGATTATTTTGAACTGTGAATCATGCAAAGCTACTCTGGTAGAGTCCAAGAATAAATAGCTATGGAGCAGAATAAGTCCACTTTAAACTATCGTCCTACTCCAGTAAGGTATGCAGGTGGACGCCTAACAGACTTAATGTATTTGTTTTCTGGATCGTTGATTCACTTTGACGCTTCAGCCTGGTTTACCGCAGAGTCGAATGTATTTCACCAGCTGTAAATTTTCCTTTGCACCTTCTAAAAAGCTAAAGTGATCAGCGTTACATCAGC